GGCTGCAAACACTCTGCATGATTCCAGTTCTGTGTGATTGTTCAGTTATATCACTCCATGTTCTACAGTAACCCTAATACCCTCTGCTCTATGGCCAGCCACCATGTAATGCATCACCAGAGGAGCTTCTTTTGAATCAAGTGTCAAGTATTTGGGGGGACAGTGTTACAGTTTTTGACGGTGGTGTTATATGCACAACCTCCAGAGGGTGGCTGGAGATCTCCTGGGATTACAGCTGATCTCCAGGTGAGAGAGACCATTTCCCCTGGAGAAAACGGCCACTTTGAAAGGTGGGCTCTATGGCAACATAGCCCACTGAAGCCCCTCCCCTCCCCAAGCCCGCCCTCCTCAGGCTCACCCCCCAAAACCTCCAAGTATTTTTCAACCTGGAGTTGGTAACCCTAGTCGATCTCCCACAGGGGCTCCTTCCTGTTGCTATGATGGGCCTGAAAGAACATGGCAGGAACGGAAGTTTTGTTGTCCTGCACGGAACAGCTTTGCTTCTGTCTGGCCACGTGGCTGCCGATCTACCTCTACTGCTGGGATGGGAACTGCTCCTGACAAAAGCGTCCCGAGGCCCCCCCCCCCAAGCTCACCTGCAAGTTAGGTGAGAAACCCCAAACAGACACATCTCCCTGTGCAATGGAAAGCCTGACATTAGGAGGTCTACTCAGAAGTGAGGCCCATGTTACTCATTGTGGCTTACTCTGAAGAAAGGATCCTCAGGATGGCAGCTGCAAACATGCACTCCCGGCTCTTCACCCATGGTTCAGGACATTTCCCAGGCAGAGGGGGAGGACGCCAACTTACCCTCCTGCTTCTTCCTCCTTCTGCAACAGAATGAGGCTGAAAGCAGCGGGCGGAAGAAGGGGGCGGGGCTTCATCGTGTGCCCCGCCCCCTGCACCTCACCCGGGGGAACAGCGACCCCTGCGATTCCCCCCCCCAAATCGACCTCTGGTCTGAAAGAACATGGCAGGAACTGAAGTTTTGCTGTCCTGCAGGGAACAGCTTTGTTTCTGCCTGGCCACATGGCTGCAGATCTGTCTCTACTGCTGGGATGGGAACAGCTCCTGACACAAGCGTCTGGAGCCTCCCCCCCCAGCTCACCTGAGAAACCCCGAACAGAGACACCTCCCTGTGCAATGGAAAGCCTGACACGGGGAGGGACCTTAAGAAGGACTACTCAGAAGTGAGGCCCATGTTACTAATTCTGGCTTACTCTGAAGAAAGGATCCTCAAGGTTGCAGCTGCAAACATGCACTCCCGGCTCTTCACCCATGGGTAAGGATATTTCCATTCAGCCAAGGTTCCTTTGGGCATACACTCTGCCAGGGCTCTTTCACACACACTAAATAACGCACCTTCAATCCACTTTGCAACTGGATTTTCCTGTGTGAAACGGCAACATCCACTTGCAAATGGTGGCTGAAGTGGACTGAAACTGCATCACTATCCAGGTCTGGCTGTAGATCATGAAGGATGCATTGGACTGGTCTGAGTCAGGAGCTGTGGGTGAGACCAGTGGTGCTCTGCAGGGTCGGTTCCAGGCTTTGGCGAGTCCTGGTCAGAGAGCACCATGGGCCCAATGTTCCCTCTAAACTGTGGAGTCTTGTGAGCAAATATTCTACTTGGTGAGCTACTGGCATTAAAGTTGTGAACGAGTGATCTGGCCACTGCAGACATTAGTTTGCCCTGGAGCCCTCCTTCCTGAGCCAAGACAAAATTGTGTGAGCCGAGGCTAAAAAACTGTGAGCCGGCTTACACGAACTCAGCTTAGAGGGAACACTGCATGGGCCCCCAAGCCCCTGTGGTGGGCCCCACAAAACCCCACGGTGAGAGCAGGTGTCATCAAAGACATTGTAGACACGCACAGCTATTTTCCGCGCGCCACAAACTGCTTCGTAGTTTTGGCTTTCGCGAGCTTGCAGGGTCCTGGAACTGGGTCAGTCACAAGTTCTCTCGGAGCTGTTCTCTCAAGAGCAGTTCTTGAAAGAGGTCTCTCAGCCCCACCTACCTCACAGGGTGTCTGTTGTGGGGACCTACCTGACAGGGTGTCTGTTGTGGGGAGGGGAAGGGAAAGGAGATTGTAAGATGCTCTAAGACTCTGAGTGAAGGGTGGGGTATAAATCCAATCTCCTCCTCCTCCTCCTCTTCTTCTTCCTCTCTCAGCCCCACCTACCTCACAGGCAATGTTCCCTCTAAGCTGTGGAGTCTTGTGAGCAAAATTTCTACTTTGTGAGCTGCTGGCATTAAAGTTGTGAGCAAGTGATTTGGCTGCTGCATAAATTAGCTTGCTCTGGAGTCATCCTCCCTGAGCTAAGACAAAAAATCTGTGAGCTGGAGGCTAAGATGTTGTGAGCTAGCTCACACTAACTCAGCTTAGAGGGAACACTGCTCACAGGGTGTCTGTTGTGGGGAGGGGAAGGAGATTGTAAGCTGCTCTGAGACTGTGAGTGAAGGGAAGGGTATAAATCCAATCTCCTCCTCCTCCTCTTCTTTTTCTTCCTCCTCCTCTTCTTTTTATTCCTCTTCTTCTTCCTCCTCTTTTTCTTCCTCTTCATCTTCTTCTTCCTCCTCTTCTTCTTCCTCTTCCTCCTCTTCTTCTTCCTCCTATTCTTCTTCTTCCTCCTATTCTTCCTCTTCCTCCTCTTCCTCCTCTTCTTCTTCCTCTTCCTCCTTTTCTTCTTCCTCCTATTCTTCCTCTTCCTCCTCCTCCTCTTCTTCTTCTTCTTCTTCTTCCACCTTAGAGGCCAACAAAGATTTTCGGGGCCTAAGATTTCAAGCTCTGACCCTTGAAAATTCATACCCGGGAAATCTTGCCGGGAGCCCTGGAACTGAGCCGGTTGTTAGCAAGGGGAACTGTGGCACGCACGCGCTCCCTCCTCCTAGAAATCCCGCCCCTTCTTTCTCGGGATTGGTCCGTAGCCCCGCTCTGTCTCCGCCCAGGAAGTCATTCGGCAGCAGCGGGGTGCGTGGGGGATGCGCAGCCTAGAGAGTGGACCTTAACGCTGGGGGGGGTCGGTCCACGGTGGATTCTCAGGCGGGAGAGAGACGTGGAGCGATTGCGTAAGTGGAGCCACCTTTCCAAACCCCGCGCTTGAGGACGGAGAGTCCTGCCTTTAGCCGGTCTCTTTGTGTCTCTCCTCCTGCCAGCCTAGCAGTTCGAAAGCAAGGAATTGCAAGTAGATAAATAGGGACCACTTCGGTGGGAAGGGAACAGCGTTCCGTGCGCCTCGGTGTTTAGTCATGCCGGCCACATGACCCCGGAAACGTCTTCGGACAGCGCTGGCTCTTCGGCTTGGAAACGGAGGTGAGCACCGCAACCCTAGAGTCGGACTCGACTGGCTTTCGAGCAGGGGAACCTTTACCTTTACCTTTGTGTCTCTCGCGAAAGGGCCGTCGTGCAGCCCTTCCTCTGAGGCGCGCTGTCATGGCTAACGGTAGCCGGAGACCCAGGGGTGTGCAGCAAACAGTCCCCGGGATCAGGTTCGTAAAATGGGCTCTGCTCTTCCTAGGGGGGGCTGGCACGGTTCTTTTGCCTACTACGGCCATGCCACCCTGGACCAATGTTCCCTCTAAGCTGTGGGGTTTTGTGAGCAAAAAATTCAACTTTGTGAGCTGCTGGCATTAAAGTTGTGAGCGAGCGATTTGGCTACTGCATAAATCAGTTTGCTCTGGAGCCCTCCTTTCTGAGCTGAGACAAAAATGTGTGAGCCGGAGGCTAAAAAACTGTGAGCTAGCTCACACTAACTCAGCTTAGAGGGAACACTGCCCTGGACACACCTGATCTCGGAAGCGAAGCAGGATCGGCCCTGGTTAGTACTTGGAGGGGGGCAATGTTCCCTCTAAGCCATGGAGTCTCATGAGCAAAAATTCTACTTTGTGAGCTACTGGCATTAAAGTTGTGAGCGAGCCATTTGGCTACTGCATAAACTAGTTTGCTCTGGAGCCCTCCTTCCTGAGCTAAGACAAAAATGTCTGAGCCAGAGGTTAAAAACCTGTGAGTTAGCTCACACTCACTCAGCTTAGAGGGAACACTGGAGGGGGGCATGGTTCTTTAGAATCAGAGCCTGCCTCTAAGTAAGCCAGCCTGATGAGAGCGGATTTGAAGCAGGACCGCAAGTTCACATTCCGGCTGTGCCAAGTTGCAGGGGAGGTTTGGAGTCTGTGACTTGGAAGGACACTCAGTTCAGCCTCCTTTCGCCTGCTGGGACTTTAAAGGGGGTGGGGGGAGGGGGTGCATTTCCATTTGGTAGCAGAGTTAACCCCTCTTCTTCGCAAATCCAAATTTCCCCTCCCCAGTTGCTCTGCTTGTGGGCCCAGGTGACCTGTTTGGCAGTCAGATTGTGGAGTTCAGTTTCGATTTGTTTGCCTCTTGGGTCACTCCTTCTCTCAGCCTGACCTGCTTCACAGGGCTGTTGTGCGGACAGGAATGGACAGGGGGAAGCTGTCTCGGGTTCTTTGAGAGAACAGGAAGAGAGGAGGTTTGTGTTTCCTTTTCATGCACGTCTTTGTTCTGTGGAGCACCACAAAAGAGGAAGATGGTAGCCCGGCTGCCCAGGTGTTCCCAAGGTGGTGCAATTTTCCTGGCACCAGTGAAGTGTTTTTGGAAAGTGGGTGGGGCCTGGTGGAGCCCTTGCCCAGGGGGAATCTGATTAGCTGGGCAGATTAAGAGGACACTGTTTCAACAGCACCTTCCACCACAGGGTTGGTTTTATTCTTGTTCCCTCATTCCCATTGTATTTTTAAAAATTATCCCTCTTCTCCCCTGCCCTTGGACTTCCTCCAGGCATATGTCTGTGTCTCCTGTGGTGGTCATTTTCGGGATGTGCCCACCACCCACATCAGAATGCCAAAGGTGCTTGTGGGCTCAAAAAGGCTGAGGACCCCTGGCTTAGTCTGTGCAGGTCCACATGTTATACAAGAAGTCCTGGCTTGCTGTCCCAGTTTGCTTTTTGTCTCATTTTTAATCAATGCTCCGTTTTGTCTTTTAAGAGCCACAAGTTCTACTAAAAAACATATCGACTTACTTCCAAAGTGAAACCACTAGGCACAGAATAAAAGTATAAACGAGGCCTCCAAAGATGCAGTCATGTCACGTGCCAAATGATATTTCACTGATAATAATCTAGAAAGGAAAAAAATGTATAAACCAAGGCAATCTACAATAAAAGTAATTAATAAATACAATTGTTTTGTTACTTCTGGTCCACAAAGCGCCTTCCAATGATTGTTTAGCCAAAGCATCCTCAGTAAAATTGTCCCTTTAGCAAAGAGCAGTGCTGATAGACTGAAGTGCTGGAGCTTTATACCAGGTGAAAGATGATGCAATGGCTGCCACAGCTTAACCTTCAGTCATATAGTGAAGCACCTTATACTGTGGTAGCAACAGCTGCCAAAGCAACATTTTAAAAATGTGTACAGGCAATCAGAACCCTTGCTGAGGAAAAGCATTACCTGTCCCCATCCACTTTCTAAAAACACTTGGTGGGCACCAAGAAAGGTACCAGTGGGGACAGTGGGCGCCATGTTGGGGACCCCTGCTCTATGTTCAAGTGGTTTGGGACCCATTTTCTTCTTTCCTTTGTTCTATAGTGCAGGTAAAGGCAAAGGTCCCCTTGCTCGAAAGCCAGTCGAATCCGACTCTAAGGTTGTGGTGCTCATCTCCATTTCAAAGCCGAAGAGCCAGCGCTGTCCGAAGACATTTCCGTGGTCATGTGGCCGGCATGACTAAACACCAAGGCGCATGGAACGCTGTTACCTTCCCACTGAAGTGGTACCTATTTATCTACTTGCAATTTCTTGCTTTCGAACTGCTAGGTTGGCAGGAGCTGGAGCTAGAGACGGGAGCTTACTCCGTCCTGCGGCACACTTGGGTCCCGAACTGCTGAACTACCGACCTTCCACAGCCTGCAGTTCAGCATCTTAACCACTTGAGCCACCGCAGCTCCTTATATGCAGGTACTAAGATGCTGATAGTGGCGTCTATTGGCAGTATGGAGATCGTGGCAACAAAATCTCTGGGGTGTGCTGGTTTATTTCTACAGAGCTCCTGGCTCTGATCTGTATTGTGGTGTCACCTGTAAGGCAATAAAGCATAAAGCAAGTAAAGAAAGAGAAATACTTAATCCCTTTTTAAAAATATTTTATTTTGGTTTTTTACAACAAATATTACAAAATACATATGTTTGATTTTACAACAATTTTTGGAGCTTCTTATCCATACATTTCTAACCACCTGTCTATTTTCTGCCATCTTTTCTTGAACACACTGTCAGGTTTTCCTGCCAGTAACATATTTAATTTATCCATTTCTTTTATATCCATGATTTTTATAATTAATTCCTCCCTGTTTGGCACTTTATCAGATTTCCAACATTTTGCTATGGCTATTCTAGCGCTTGTGAGGATGTAAAGTATCAAACGTGCATCATTATAGTTTATGCTGTCAGGTAACATGTTTAATAAGTATACTTTCTGGTACCAATGGTAGTTCTACTTCTACTATATCTAAAATGAGTTGTTTTATAATTTAAAATACTTAATCCTGATAAGCTGAGATCAGTCACGGGTAATAATGACCTTGCCTCAGCGACCTTAATTCAGCACTGCTGCCAGCTCTTGTGTCTTCATGTGTAAAATTAGATGTGGATGAGTCCAGGGATGCCTTTCGCCTTAAATGACAAGTAACTAAGGCTCCAGTATGCACATGCTCAGAGGCAGCCTGATTGTCAGCAGTGTTTCCTCTGAGCTAAGTTAATGTGAGCTAGCTCAGTTTTTTAGCCTCCAGCTCACCGTTTTTTGTCTTAGCTCAGGAAGGAGGGCTCCAGAGCAAACTAATTTATGCATTGGCCAAATGGCTCGCTCACAACTTTAATGCCGGTAGGTCACAAAATAGAATTTTTGCTCACAAGACTCCACAGCTCAGAGGGAGCATTGATTGTCAGGTGATGTCTGGTAACATTCTGGCAAAACAAGCCTAAGTTGGCTTTGCATCATGCTGGTCTTAAACATCGGCACTGATCGAGGGCCTCATTTTGGAACTTGTGTACAAAGAATTACAGGCAACTGATCATGGTGTATTCTGCCACTGTTGTATCAATAGGACAGAGAGTTCTTCAGCATTCTTTAAAAAAAATATATTTATCATTCAATTTATAGGCCGCCCTCCCCACCAAGCGGGCTCAGGGCGGCTAACCACAAGGCACGCATATCGATATATAAAACAAGATAAAACACGCAATTACAATATATACAAATAAAGTGCGTCAAGATGGTTACAAATGATGATCTTCCATTTAGAGATGGTGTCCGGAGGATACTTAGTCAGATCTTAAACTCAGTGGTGTCCGCACGCCATAGTGCCGCAGTTTGATCATCACGGACCATTCCAATACCTTGCTGTTTCCAAGTTCATTGTTGTTGTTGGTAGCGGCAGCTCCTACTTGAAAGCCTGGCGGAAGAGCTCCGTCTTGCAGGCCCTGCGGAACAGTGCAAGGTCCCGCAGGGCCCTGATCTTCTCCGGAAGCGTGTTCCACCAGGTAGGAGCCGCCACCGAAAAGGCTTTGGCCCTAGTAACAGCCAGCCTGGCCTCCTTGGGGCCTGGCGTCACCAACAGATGTTGCGTCCCCGACCGTAGTGCCCTTGGGGGTATGTACGGGGAAAGGCGGTCCCTCAGGTATATCGGACCCTGGCCTCCAGGAATTTTTTGGAGCATGTAGCGGAATGGGCCTGCTCCGGCCTGCAGACCCTGTTCCAACTTGCCCTCCAAGGTTTTCCCAACACCTGGAGAGGCTTTTCCTTCTCTCTCAGGTAACCACTACTACCACTTGACCTTTGTAAGGAATTGCCCACCAAGAGGGTCAGGACTCCCAGCTTTCCCTCCAAGATCTGAGGCTTTGCCTCTGTGTCTCCAGCTGTCCAGTACCTGGTCACCACAGTGACTGTTTACTGCCTTGTGGAGGAATAGCCACTTGCCAACTGCCTTCCTTCCTCTGGCGCTCCTTTTCAAATAGTGTGTCCAAGATGGTGGAGTTCTGTGTGGTACAGAGAACCACTACCAGCATCAAAAGTTATTAAGTATTTATTACAAATAAAATGTTCACAAGCATACTTTTAAGCACAGCACCAGAATGAGCAAGGGATTCAAAAGAAATGGGTAAAACACAATTCCTCTGTCCCTCTCTCTATATATATGCCCTATCAGATGTTACAATATGGGGCAGGCTCCTTAGCGTAGGAAATTACAGATCTCCACAGAGTTACCATTACCTTGAAGCTTCCTTCATGTGTCCAGGCCACCACATGGCT